AGTTATGATTTCCAAATCTGACCTGACGGCCAGGGGCGTAGCTTTCGATCTGCTCCAGATGGCCAACCGAATTGGCCCGCAGTGCAAAGCCGCCGAATATGAAGATCTGTCCGGGGAGAAAAGTCTCACCCTGGACCGCGTCGTTGTTGATGATCGAAGGAGCCATCGAGCCTACCGACGACGACACAGAGGAACTCTCAATGAAAGCACCAATGTCGGTGTCAAAACCGGCGGATCTTGGGTAGGGGGTCCTGAACTGTGCGTCTAGGCGGATGGTAACAGGAGACAAGGGACACGATGTTTCACCCAGGTTCGGGCCCTCTTGATGGAGGTAAAACCCTACGTCCTGCTTGATTGATATTGATGATGTGGGTATTACAAGAGTAGATCTACCACGAGATCAAGGAGGCTAAACCCTAAAAGCTAGCCTATGGTATGATTGTTGTAATTGTTGTTGTGTCCTACGGACTAAAGCCATCCGGTTTATATAGACACCTGAGAGGGCTAGGGTTACATAGAGTCGGTTACAATGGTAGGAGATCTACATATCCGTATCGCCAAGCTTGCCTTCCACGCCAAGGAAAGTCCCATCCGGACACGGGACGGAGTCTTCAATCTTGTATCTTCATAGTCTTGGAGTCCGGCTGATGATGATAGTTCGGCTATCTGGACACCCCCTAGTCCAGGACTCCCTCAATCATTGTGTACCATTTCAACGTCGAAGGTCTCCTGGAGATTAATGCTGAAGCACCGACCTTCTATCTGGTGAGGCCTGTCACAGAAACCACGATCGTCGCTGCACCAGGAGCACTCCGTGAGACTTTCGTCGTCCGATGACATTTTCTATGTTCATAATTCAAAGATTAAACTTTTAAAATTCAATATATGTACTAGAAAAACTAAATTAGATCATTATTATTCAGCATGGGTTGACTATCGGTCTGTTGAGTCTTTTTTTGAAAACTCTTAGCTCACGTGGTGTATATATTCGACCGTTGGTGATGGTCGCTCCTCCCTTCATTCCCGAGTGCATTAAACCAAAATGTCTAGCACACGGGAACGAAGGAGAAGCGACCCCCACAACAACAGTCGACATTCTTCTTCTCTCCTATATGGTGGACACACTCCCTCACTGATCTTTCGACCGTTGGTGATGGTCGTTACTCCTCCTTCCCCTAGTGCATAACAAAGGTCTAGCACAAGGAAAAGAAGGAGAAACGACCCCCACGACAACAGCCGGGATTCTGCCTCTCTCATATATGGTGCAAACTTTCTCCCTCACTCATTTTTTGATTGTCATGTATGGAGCCTCGACGGACTTAAAGTCAACCCGGAATGTCGTTTAATTATCTTTATAGCAAATCCATGCCACTCGATATTTCCTACATATGCTAGCACAAGTCATGCCAAAAATCATGGAGAAATCCGGCATAACCTTTGCTGAGAAAGGACATATCGAGCGCCTGAAATTTGCCAGAACTGAAATTAATCAACACTCCGGCAAAACATAGGCCACTCGGAGGTGTTACCTACAAACATGGCCGGCCACTTGGGCAAGCACATATCCTATTTCAACAACACAAGATATACATGTTTATATCTACATCATATGAGCATTCAAACTTGATGGTCACCTCGAGGTCGGAGGGGGTCGGTGACGGGGACGACGGCGGGGATGATGCAGGGGCTCCGTACATCGTCGAATATTATCACTAATAAGCGAAACTAAAACATTTCAAAATTAGTATTCAAATTAGCATGCATTCAATAAGCAAAACTAAATCATCTCTTGCGTTCGTACATCATCGAATATTATCACTAATACATCTCGAATAGTATCATACATATAACATCACTAATACAGCTACAACCCTAGCGAACGACGGGTATCGGCGCTGGCGGTGGACACCCAAAGAGAAGGAACCATCACAGGATCATAGCTCCAGTGAGATCCCTGAAGAACCTGCCAGGTATTGTCGAACCTGCCCTTCAACGCAACCATGTAGCGACGGACATGCTCGTCCTCCTCGCTGACATGGTGATGTACCACCTCTGCGGTGGACAAAAGCCTCCGTATCGTCAGTGACCCACGCGACCGCCACCAAAGAAGATTCGGGTCAACGACGGGCTGGCTCCTCACCAAGTTGCGCCTCAGAATGTAGCACCTTCTAGTACCAGGCCGGTGGAGCCCAGTCCCGGATATGGCCCCTCTGATCAAGCAGGCCTCCTCCACCGAGTCGACAACAAGGATGCGGGATAGGCATCATCGACGTTGATGCGGGAATATATGCTTTAACTAAAAAAATAACAACAAATATGACATGTTCAAAATATGACATGTCCACTACAAAACGAATCAACCTAGAATTCTATTAAATACACCTAAAACACCTAAATTCTATTAACTACACCTAATTAAAAACCTACATTTTGAACATGGTTCGATCATAACTAGGGTTCATACTATATTATTCTAAGATTAAACAAAAATACCTAAATTAAATTAACAACATGGGGTGGCTGGTCTCACCTCGAGGTTGGAGGGGGTCGGTGAAGGGGATGATGCAGGCACTCCTTGATTTCCGCAAAAACAAAATATAAACAAAAACATTATTATCATCGTCTTAGGACTTAGTGAAACTCAATAAGCTATCAAGTAAATATCCAATTTGATTCCAAATAAAATTTTCAATTGTCTGCAATTTGTTTCCTAAACCCTAAGAACATTATTATCCTCATTTTTTACCTACTGTCTACTTGTTGAACCATAGAAAAATGCCCTAATTTCACATAACTTAGAGTTTAATTGTTGAAATATATTTCAAAATATACTGTGAACCCTAGAAAAAGCCCTAATTTCATAATATAACAAGTAGAGGACATTTTTTTACCAACTAAATGTAGTAAAATACAAACTATAATATAGAAACTATAAAGTATAAAGTATAAACTATAACTATAAACTACAAACTATAAACTAGAATATTTTCAAACTATAAACTAGGAGGAGGAGGAGTGAGGAGGGCCGGCGACGGATGGAGGAGGAGGGCCGACGGTGGCTAGAGGAGGAGGGAGGAGGGCTGGCTGCGGATGAAGGAGGGGGAGGG